CTAGGGATAATAACTAATATCAGATGGATCTTGGCTGAAAGCAGAGAGTGCCAGAGGAATGTCTATTTGTGTTTCGTTAGCTATGCAAAGGCATTTGACTGTGTGGATCGTAACAAACTGTGACTGACGTTGAGAAGAGTGGGAATCCCAGAACACTTGATTGTGCTTATGAGAAACCTATACTTGGACCAGGAGGTTGTTGTCAGAACAGAGCAAGGAAACACTGCATGGTTCAAATTGGGAAGGGTGTGCATCAAGGATGTGTTCTATCTCCTTACCTTTTTAATCTTTATGCAGAACAGATTATCTGGGAGGCTGGGCTCTATGAGGAGAAATGTGGCAACAGGATTGGAAGAAGACTCATCAACAATCTGTATTATGCAGATGACACAAACCTGCTTGCTGAAACTGAGGAGGACCTGAAGCACTTGTTGTGGAAGGTCAGGGACGGCAGCCTTCAGTATGGATTGAGATTCAACATCAAGAAAACAAAGATTCTCACCACTGGGCAGATTGGCAGCATCATGATGGATGATGAAGAGATTAAGATTGTTCACAGCTTTAGTTTGCTTGATTCCACAATCAACAGTTTTGGCACCAGCAGCCAGGAAATTAAAAGACGTATTGCATTGAGAAAGTCTGCTGTTAGGGACCACTCCAAAGTACTGAAGAGCAATGATGTCAGTCTAGACACTGAGGTGCGCCTGGTACAGGCCATGGTCTTTACAATCACTTGCTATGCATCAGAGAGCTGGAGAATGGCTAGAGATGATAGAAGGAGAATTGATGCCTTTGAGCTGTAGTGTTGAAGAGTGTTGAATATACTGTAGACTGCTAGGAGAATAAACAAGTTCGTCTTTGGAGGCAAGGATTCTGAAGCTTTTTCTGACATACTTTGGACATGTTGTAAGGAGGGACCAGTCCTTGGAAAAGGGCATCATGCTTGGGAGGGTGGAGGGACCGCACAAGAGAGGAAGACTCTCGATGAGATGGATTTATTCCATCACTGGGATAATGGGGATAGGCGTGGCAGGGACAATGAGGTTGGCACAGGATAAAGCAGGGTTTAGGGGTGTTGTACATAGGGTTGCTATGAGTTGTAAGTGACTCAATGGCACATAACAACAACAATAACCTTCGACTGCCTCCCTTCTCATCCCTAGTAACCATTCATGATTCCATTAAGAACTGACAGATTGGGCTCACAGAGAAGTAGCCACTAGGAATTAAGAAAAGTCAAACCTCACTATTCTCAAGTTAATTACACATCACAGTGAGCCCATGTGTCATAGCGAACTGTGCTTCACAAGGTTCCGAGTGCTTGATTTTTCAAGCAACAAAAGTAGATCAGCAGGTTTTTCTTTGAAGTCACCTTTGGATGGACTGCAACCTCTGAATTTTTGGTTAACAACCAAGTACACTAACCTGTTGCACCACTCAGACTGATTATTGATTAAACTGAAACAAGCAACCAAAAAACCTCACTTGTAGTCTGACTCAAAGGGACACTCCACCAGGCTTCTGATGCTAGAAATCTTTACACAAGACTGCCTGTCTTCCTCCTACCAAGTGACTGGTGGATCTGAACCACTCATCTTTTGGTCAGCAGCCTGACAACTTATGAACAACATCACCAGGGCTCCTTGGCTATTTCTTAGAAGCTCACTAAATGAGGGAGCTCTGGTGTCCTACTGGCAAGAAGCTGTGCTGCAATCCTGAAGACATGCTGTTCAAGGCCACCAGCTGCTCCATCAGAGAAGGATGGGCAATCTCCTACCATGCAATGAACTGCCTCTGAAAACCCACCAGAGGGTCAGCTATGGTTTGATTCCACCTCTGCAGGAAACAACAACAAATGACTAGGAACCTCTGATGGCTCAGAGGTAAGGAGTTGTGCTTCTACTCCATGGGCATGCAGTTCGAATCCACCAGATGAGCCATCTTCTCCCATGGAATTTACTGCTCCTAAAACCTGCTGAGGGTCAGCTATGAGTGAGTTCTGACTTGATGGCAAACAAGAACAAATTACTATTTGTACCTTTTGCCTAATGAACTGAAGTTGCCCTGAGTCATTCATTCTTTGTCATTATGTTAATTTCCAGCTCATAGTGACCTGAAGGGTTTCTGAACCTGTGAATCATACCTGGTGTAGACTTGTGGGTTCAAACAGCTAACTTTTCTGTTACCACCCCAACATTTAACAGATTAGGCTTCCAGGGTTCTTTTGTTTTAGATATGAATCTTTAAATGTAAGGTTTTATTTGTATTTATGTCTAGATCTTAGATAAGCATTTTTAAAATATGTGTAAATAACTTATTTCAAAGAGATACTGAATTCACATTTTTTTTTTCTGAACTAGCAGAGCCTGAAACAAATATATTTTTAACGGGTTGTTTGGTTGGGTTTTTTTTAATCCATAAACTTTCCTCACTCCAACATTTTTATAGTCCATGACCAAAATATAGTGTGAAAACAACATGGTATGATAATCGTTATCCTACTCAAGACATTAGAAAAATGTCACCAGAGGCATGGGCTGAAGGGACGCTTCAGAGATGACAGAAAACCCAATCTGTTTGCTCCCCCAGAGTGTTCAATGCCAGGTTCAGAGCAGGTCCCTGGAGCACCAACCCTTAGTGACAGGAGCTGACAAGATGACCTGCGTGCTTAGGATCTTAATTATGTAAAGTGGAGGTGATCATGGCACGAGTTCACTGGAAGAATGCAAATCATTGTCTTGACTCTTGACTTTCACAGTATAACCCTGAGCTTAATATGATCATTAAAGTCTTTCTTAAAAAGAGGGTGGTTTTCCCCCTCTGAGACTTTACTTGCAGAGTAATTTCATTCATAATGAATGAAAGAGAGTGTGTTTGCTACAGGATTTCTCATGGTCGTTAATGCTTGTGCACGTTGGGAATCCTCAATAAGCGTTTGGAAAACTTTTTTGACCCCAGAACTCCCTTTGCATCAAACATTAAGGCTTGTGGCTTTTGGAAAGAGCTACTCTATATTTCTCTTTGGCCAGTTTTGGGAGAGTCCACAGTTACCTACTTCTAGGGATTTCTTATTTGTGAAATATACTGATGGTGTTTTTTAAACCTATGACATACATTATTTAAAAACCACTACATATATTATTTTGTAATATAATTTAAAAGTAATATGCAAACAGGGAGCTTTGGTAGCCTAGTGGCAAGGGGCTGCACTGCAATCTGAAGGCATGTGGTTTGAGACCAGCAGCTGCTTGATGGGAGGACAGGCAGTCTCCTCCCTTGCGATTGACTGCCTCTGAAAACCTGCTAGTGGGTCAGCTGTGAGTCAGTTCTGACTGTCTGATACACAACAACAGCAACAACAACAGCAATGAAATACATTCAGCCAAAGACACCTCTTTGGAGTAGTAGACATTGCTCTACCCACTTCAACTTTGCTTTTCAGGATGTAATCAGGCCTTGTTAAAATGTTATTGTTGTGGTTATGTGCCGTCGAGTCGCCTGTGACTCATAGCGACCCTGTGTACAACAGCCCTAAACTCCGCTCTGTCCTGTGCCAATCGCACTGTCTCCAACACTCCCATCCCAATTATCCCAGTCACTAAATCAATCTACCTCATAGAGGGCCTTCCTCTCCTGCGCCGTCCCTCCACCCTCCCAAGCATGATGTCCCTCTCTAAGGACCGGTCTCTCCTCATAACATGTCCAAAGTATGTTATGTTAGACGAAGCCTCATGTTAAAATGTAGGTTCTGATACATTTATGCTGGAGTGGAAATGCAAACACTGAAACTGGAATGAACCATTTTTGTTGTGTACCAGAGTGGGAGCCAACACAGAGCTGATCATCCAGTGGGTTTTCAGAGGCAGTTAATTGCACAGGAGGAAATGGTCCATCTTTCTGGCGGCCTCAAAATGCATGGATTCAGGAATGCAGCACAGCTTGTTGGAATAAAATGCAAAGTAATGGGTGATAGTGGGAGGACTTCTAGTCAAAGTTTCAGCACGTTTAATTTCAAAGACAGATTTCAATCTAATACCTGAAACTTGCAGTTGGGAGATTTTTTTTTTCTTAAAGCCTCTGTAATTGCTCTTTTTTCTCTTCTTTTGAATACATCATTTCTTATTACACCTTTTCCTGTGTTTAGCCTTTTACTTCCTTATTATTATTATTTTTTTAAATCTGTCATTGCCTGTTGTTTTCTTAAGTAATTCCCTGCTTTAGCATAATATTTCAATTCTTTTCTTTTCCTTTAAATTTCAGGTCAGTAAATCAGTGGCTTAGGAATTCCCCAGCAAGGTGGTTGTCATGCTTTTTGTCACACAGGAACTTGACTCCTTGCCACATGTATCAGGACACTGTGATAGATTATTTCCAGTTGTTATAAATTCCCAAAATTTAGTGCGTCAGTCATACTAAATCAGGATCCAGCCATTTACTTTCACTTATGCCTCGATCTTAGATGTGAATTCTTTTCCTCGTTAGTGAACTTGAGTTTCCTTGTCTCTCACAGTTGTATTCCAAGTGTGCCTTATTAAACCTGCCACAGAATAGAGCCATGAACAGACCATTACTTTTGTTTGTTTACAAAAGTTGGTTTTTTTAAAAAAAATATTTTTGCCTCAAATGAACTTGAAAATACACTGGGAAACCCTATCTCAAAGCTTAAATGTCACACCCAAATGACATTTGTCTTCTTTAACATTTTAAATTAACTTTGTCACTACTTCTTTGGTGGTTTTGTTCTCAGGTCTAGAGTCACCTCTCAGGTCTGAAGTAACATCTTGGTTAACCCTGTATATTCTGTTAGTTCATGATTCTTCATGGCAGCTTTGGAAAAAACTCACAGATGATGCTTAAAAGTGGAAAAAATAATTATCCTTTGTTTAAGACTATGAATACGTTTTAATGTGTTACTACAATGACAATGAGTTACTACAAAATCTCCTTAAATTGTTTTGATGATACTGAAAAATAATTTTGTTTCTTTTATTTTACCAAAGGACACGAAAATTGCTTCCTTGGAGCGCAATATAAGGGATCTGGAGGATGAGATCCAGATGTTGAAGGCCAATGGTGTGTTGAACACCGAGGACCGGGAGGAAGAGATCAAACAAATCGAGGTTTACAAAAGTCACTCCAAGTTCATGAAAACCAAGGTATGGTCCAGGGTGATAAACTTTTATACTCGTAGTGTGACTGGAATGTTAAGGTTTATGTATGTACTTGTCCCAAATACTTATATAATCTGCTTTGTGTGATGTCATGAGATACATAGATAATAAAGAATATGAAATATTTTCTGCTTAGAAATGTAGATTCCAAAAAAGCATCCAGGAGAAAACCTTTGGAATTCTTACTTACAATGGGACTATGGTTCTTTTAATGAGCTCCTTTGGTGTCCTGCTTTGAGAATTGGCGTTATGTTTTTAATAGTCTTCATGATTTCATGTTTTCTCCGTTATCTTAGTTACTATTTTTTTAAGTTGCTATCTGTTTTAGTTATCTAGTGGTGCTATAATAGAAATAGCACATGTCAGGGGGATTAGGGGGAGAAGAGGAAAGAGTGGATAGATAGCTAACACTGTATTGGAACAGATAAGGGGAAGAATGGTCCAAAAGGAATAGATGATGAGGTATTATATGTATGAGAACAATCTGGAACAAGGGGTGCATTGCAAAGTAGACTGGGGTGAGAGTAGATGGGGGTGAAGAGGGAAGAAAATGTGTAACAATAAATGAATAAAAATGAAAAAAATAGAAATGGCACATGTAAATGCCTTTAAAAAAATAAATTTATCATCTCATAGTATAGAAGCTAAAAGTTCAAACTCAGAGAACTCCATGTAGGGAAAGACTGTATGTGTCTCCTGGCTCTAGGTGGTTCACAGTGCTTTTACTCCTGACTTTTTTCTTGGTAGTTATATGTCCCTCTGCTCTCTGCTCAACTGTTTAATCTTTATTTCTCAAAAGAGATTAACTCAGGGAGCTCTGGTGGCCAAGAGGCAGGAAGCTGCACTGCAATCCCAGAGGTGTGTGGTTCAAATCCACCAGATGTTCTGCTGGAGGAAGAGGGACAATCTCCTTCAGTACCAGTCAGATCTGATTTGACAGCACACACACACAAATAATTTAAAAAAAAAAAGATTGACTCAAAATACAACCTAATCTTGTAGATTGTATTCTTTCTCATTAACATGTTATTGTTTGGTGTTGTCAAGTTGAGTAAGACTCATAGTGACCCTATGAAAGACAGATCTGAACCTCTCCTATCCTGTGCCATCCTTACAGTTTCTGACCTATTGAGCCTATTGCTACAGTCATTCTGTCAATCCATCTCATTGAAGTTCTTCTTCTCTTTTGCTGACTCGCCACCTTCCCATGCATGGTGTCCCTCTCCAAAGAATAGCCTCCTCTAGCAACTTGCCCAAAATATGTGAGACCAAGTTTTATCACTTTTGTCTCCAAGGAACATTCGGTTGCACCTTCTTCAGGACATATCTGTTTGTTCTTTTGGCAGTCCATGGGCTCTTTAGTACTCTTCTCCCACACCACCATTAACCCTGTATGATTAACCTGATGGAAGATTTATAAAATATACAATAATGAATTTCATTAGATCATAAAAAGAAAGATAATTACCTAATCCTGGGACTAATAACCTAGCCAAGCTGACAATTTTTTTTTTTTGTGAGGAAGGTGGGGACACATTTAATCTGTAACACTCTCATTGTCAAATTTGTTCTACCATGTCTCAAAAGTTGTTAATTTCAGAAGCCAGTTTAATTGATTTCAATCTTACACATTTTCATTTTAAAATAGTGGTTAAGACATGGTTGATTTTAAGTCTCAATTGTTTAAATTATTCAACTTCTGTAAGCCTCATTTCTTTGTTTTTAAGATCAGTTAAGACAAGAACCTGCCTCACCAAATAGCTTTGACAGTTCTAAGAGTTTAGACATCAAAAGCACCTATTTGCATACCTGATATGTAGAACTCAAAAATTAATTGACTGCTACTGAGTTGTTTCTGACTCACAGCTAAACCTCCATTGGGTTTCTGAGGCTGTTATCCATCTTTCTTCCATGGAAATACTGGGGGATTTGAACTGCTGGAGATGTACAGCTTTTGGTTAGCAATGTAGTTCACTAAGGACTATGCCATCAGACCTTCCTGATCTGAAGAACTCATTCATTAAATGGCAGGCATTGCTGATAATGCTATTGTTACTGTTACCTGTTTTTGAAAGATTTGGAAAATATTATGATAATATGTCACAGTAATTTATATTTCTGACATCAATTTGAAAGAATTTGACTTGTACTTTTTGAAATTAAAGTTTGATCTCTAGCACCTGACTACTCATCATTCTTATATGTGAATAGTTATTAAACTCCTTAGGAGCCTTTTGAGATGTTTGTATGGAAATAATAACCACAGCAAAAAAAATGTGTTCATGGTTTACCACTTCCTGTTAAGAATCCTAGTTCATGGTTTTAATCTTGGTTGTTTCCTTATAAAATGTAATGGTAATAGAGTAATTAATGGAACCTTCCAGGAAAAAACAATGGGAGTGGCAAGGGGAGAAAAAGTAATGGCAGTTATGATTCTTATCCATTGTAAAAAATACTCATTTGAAGAAAATTTGCAGATTATAGAGAGGAAATAGTAAGATCTATCCTTTACCTTAAGAAGCCGTGGTGGCACAGTGTTTAAACTGTTAGCTACTAACCAGAAAGTTGAAAATTTGAACAGACCACAGTCAATCTGCAAGTGTAAAATGTTGCAGTCTGCTTCCCAAAGTTTGCACCATTAGAGACCCTCAGCGCAATTGGGGTCAACACACTTGAGAACTGAGTTACTGAGAATTGACTCAACAGCAATGAGTTTAAAATGTATTGCCATTTACTTCACTGCATATGCTGTTGTTGCCTAGTGCACTCAAGTTACTTCCAACTCAGGACAGTCTGTATCCAGCCGAACCAAACAGTGCCTAGTCCACTGTGACCCTGACAGTCCCTCCCATCCAGGATCCCATTACTGCAGTCACCATGTCAATCCATTGCGCAAAGCGTCTTCTTTTTGTCTGCCATCTCTGCTTTATCAACCATGAGGTCCTCCCGACAGCATGCCCAAAGTGTGTGAGATGAAGATGCACCATCCTGGCCTCCAAATCATAGACCAGCCATGCTTCTTGCAAGATGTATTTCTTTGTTCAGGCTGTGGTATGGTCAGTATTCTTTGCCAATATCCCAACTCAAAGACATCATATCGTCATTGTTTTCTTATTTGTGTTGAACTTTCACATGTGTATAATAAGGTGATTGAAAATACCATGACTCATGTCCAAGTGATAACCTTGCCTTTTAGCATTTTAAAGAGGTGCTTGGCAAAAGATTTATATAGTGTAATAATATGTCATTTGATTTTTCTGACTGCTGCTGCATATGGGGCCTTGTATATATACACATGCACGTGTGTGTGTGTGTGTGTGTGTGTGTGTATTTTTCTCATGGAGTAAAGAAACAAAGTAATCTGTACTTTTGCAATGCAAATATGAGTAGGAGTCTGTTCAGTGGATTTTAATGTAACCCTTCCTCTCAGGGACTGCCACAATGAAGAACAAGTTTCCCTGCCCAACTTTCTCTCTGGTTTTTTGTTTGTAGTCCTTTCTTTTGCACATTAAAGCTGAGATACATCAAACTCTGTAGGAGGATGGCCTGCATATTGCGACCAAATCACCCTGGAGATGAAGATCTGAGGCCCAGACATGAGTGAACTCAAGATGTTCACTGAAATTATTGTTTTGGCTTAAACTTCTCGTTGGTCTGTGATAACTGTGTTTCATCCTTAAATGCTCTGTCTCCCACCAGTTATTCAGGGAGGGAGATACTGCAAGCCACTTTCCAGAGCTAAAAATGCTGTGAGATTTACAAATCATACCTTTCATCATGGACTCTGTCCAGGAGAATAAAACATTTATATGGTCTTCAGCAAGAAAACTGTGACCTTTGTTAGCCTGAGGTTGTCTGCTTGGCCATTAATCCTTAAGTTTGATTGAACTTTTAATGGCTAGTTACTGTAAGAGTTCCAGAAGTGGTCAGGTCAGAAGAATGTTTAAGGAGTGTAGCAGAGCATGGTAGAAAGAGTTCAGCCTGAAAACTACAGCCAACTTGGGTGACTCTCTGGATTGTTCTTGGTGGTTGGGTGGCCCTGGGGCTTGTCTGATGTCACTCAACTGTGGTTTAATCATCTGTAAAATGGAGATACACCCACTATCCTCAGAGGGTGCTCAAAGGATTGAATGAAGAAATATGTTAAAAGTGTTTGTGTAAAAGAAAAAGTAATAATTATACTCATCATTATTGGAAAAGTACAGAAAAATACAAAATAATCAGGACAGTAACTAATAGTGTGCTCTCCTTTGAGCTGTGGTGCTGGAAAAGAGTACTGAATTTAGCATACACTGCTAAGAGAACAAACAGGTTTATCCTTGAGAGAGTGAAACCAAGCTGCTCCTTGGAGGCAAGGATACTGAAGCTCTGTCTGACATGCTTTGGGCATGTTGCAAGGAGGGACATCATACTTGGAGAAGGACATCATGCTTGGGAGAGTGGAGGGACAGTGCAGGAGGGGAAGAATCTAGATGAGATGGATTGACTCAGTGGGGTAGGTGTGTTGGAGACAATAAGGTTGACTCAGGAAAGAACAGGGTTTAGAGCTGTCGTACATAGGGTCACTATGAGTCACAAGTGACTTGATGTCACATAGCAGCAGCAATCTTACTTGACTGGTGAGGAAGGAAAGGAACTTTGCTGGAGTAGTGCGTAGCGAATTGCGCTGCTGACCCAAAGGCTGAGCCTCTCTTGGTGGTTTAAATCCAGCAGCGGCTCTGAGGGAGAAAGATGAACAATCAGTCTCCTTCTTTGTGATTCATGGACGCACAAAGCAATAGAGGGTCAAGTATGAGTCAGTTATGACCTGATCGCAGTGAGTAAGAATGAGGAAAAATGGATGTCTAAGAAATAGAAATCACAGTGAGTTTCTACATAACGTTATAGCGATATCCCTTATGAATGGCAAAGTTAACTAAGAAGTGCCGTGAAGAGTCAGATTTGATATAGTCTCCATTGAAATGGTATATTGAGCCATAACATTG